CAATCTATTCATTATGACTTTGTGTCTCCGGTAGAGCGGGATGTATCATCCTGCCTCACAGTGACAAATCTGAAGACGTTCCAACACCTTATTATGGTTTTTATTCGATCGATGGCCTTGACAGTGCCTGTTTTATAGTGTGCCTGGCTAGGTAGCACTTTGATGGGTCTGAGAACATGCCATTAAGCGCGGAGGGCTGGCACATGTTAACTTAGACTCTTGTGATCGGCTGCTGCGGGGATAAAATTGGGTTTGCACATTTCAGAAGGAAAATTCCAGTCTCCCCATGCCTTATTCAATTCCTCTGGATTGCTGTGGAAAGGTTCCTTATCTACATGCTTCAGCCTCTCCCAATCTGGCTGCAGATGATGGGTATGATGAGCCAACTCATCTGCAGGGCCCTGCTTGGAGAACGCGCGATGGCTATGGGCAAAGACAGCAGGAATAAACCAGAACAAAAAGTGCCAGTTTTGTCAGGTGGCTAAGGTATCAGGCTGGAAGCTAGGAGACTGGGACTTCTAGCCTTAGGTGTGAAAGCCAGTTGGCTGACTCTCGGCCAATCACCAGAAGACTGTGAGTTCTAGTCCCACCTTAAGCATGAAAGCCAATTGGGTGACTCTGGGCCAATCGCCAGGGAACTGTGAGTTCTAGTCCCACCTTAAGCATGAAAGCCAGTTGGCTGACTCTGGGCCAATCACCAGGAGACTGTGAGTTCTAGTCCCATCTTAAGAATGAAAGCCAATTGGGTGACTCTGGGCCAATCACCAGGGAACTGTGAGTTCTAGTCCCACCTTAAGCATGAAAGCCAGCTAGGTGACTCTGGGCCAATCACCAGGAGACTGTGAGTTCTAGTCCCACCTTAAGCATGAAAGCCAATTGAGTGACTCTGGGCCAATCACCAGGAGACTATGAGTTCTAGTCCCACCTTAAGCATGAAAGCCAATTGGGTGACTCTGGGCCAATCACCAGGAGACTGTGAGTTCTAGTCCCATGCTTTCTAGCATGAAAGCTAGAAAGTTCTAGTCCCATGCTTTCTAGCATGAAAGCCAATTGAGTGACTCTGGGCCAATCACCAGGAGACTATGAGTTCTAGTCCCACCTTAAGCATGAAAGCCAATTGGGTGACTCTGGACCAATCACCAGGAGACTATGAGTTCTAGTCCTACCTTAAACATGAAAGCCAGCTAGATAACTCTGGCCCAGTCCCTTTCTCTCAGCCCAACTCGCCTCACGGCTGTTGTGGGGCAAATAGGAGGAGGAAAGAGTATTGGGTATGTTCATCACCTTGAGTGTTTTATAAAAATAATACAAGCGGGACAAAACATCTAACAAAAGGGCCAATACTACCTCAGATGCTCAACCTGTGGCCTTGCCAGCTGCCTCTTGAAAGCTGCCATCAAATTGTAGCATGAGTATGGAAGAATAATTAACTACAGATAAGCAGTAGTATGGCCAAGTTCTGCTGTTTAATTCAAATTGAATTCAATTAAATTCTGCCAAATTTTGAGTACTGTATATTTCTGCATCCTACTATATGGGTGATCTAGTGCATGTTTTCTAGAAACTGGGTGTAAGCCAGAAAAAAAGTTGTTTGCTCCTGATTTAAAGTACCATTAGATGCATTAATTCAAAACAGGGAAGGCTCATCCTTCTGAATCTTGAAGACCAGGAGCAATTGTCAAGAAAAGACAATTTGGTGGGAACTAGCAAGCTTTTCTTCTGTAGTAAGGAAGGCTATCTGGTTATTTAAAAAAAACAACAGCCACCAACAGTAAAATTAATCCTAAAATTGGAAAGGGATTTAGAAATAACTCATAACTCTGTGCTGATGAGATCTTAGCTGGCAGTGAAGTCTCCTTATAAGCAAAAAGTATAGGATTATTTTCAGCATAAACTTAGTGTAAACTCTGTTTAGGATTAAGTTCCAGGACAAGTGTAATTTACCAACGTTTAGATAAAAAATTAGCATTTGCTGTCCTTGTTCTTTAGATCTTCCACTGCACCATCATTGAAAGCTTCTGCAGATTGCTATGTAAACTAGAGGACAGTAACAATAGAGCAGCATGCATAATTCCTCTGATAGGGATTGTAGACTCTGAATGAACATGTAAGAGTTGAATGCTTATCAGAGTGTAAAATCTTATGACGTGTTTGGGCTTGTTTGAAAGAGTGTGGATAGGAATGCCAACATCTCTTGAGGATGCATTGTGAAATCCAGAGAACGTTAATGCTTGATTTAAAAACAAATGTTCTTAAATGTCCTTCCTCTTGAGGTGAAGCTAGCTCCAACCCCACTGACTTTCCAGAAAGCTCTTGAAACATGGTTTGGTCAACTGGCCTGGAGATTCCATGGTAGAATGGAACTTGCTAGATAGTTCCATGATGTCAATCAAAGAGAATCTTTGTAGCTCAGGGATGGCCTGTGGAGTCCTTGGTGCTCTCTCAGCTTGTTTACTTGCAGATGTTTCATTACCCAACTAGGTAAGATCTTCAGTGCTGAAGAAGTTACTGTCAAGTTTCGAAGCACAGTCTTGCTGGATGTGAAAAATATTCCTTCTCAACTTGCCAACAAACCTGGGGGGGAGGGAAGGGATTGGAATGTGAGCTGCGAAGATCAAGAGGCCAGACCAGACCGGGAGATTCAAGGACATTCTACCAAGCGTCTGGGTAGACTTGAGGATGCTTTATCATAACAATATTTTCCTGCTTGATTGGGCAATGTGACCTGGCCAGGAGGAAGAATTCTATGCTTTAAAACTATGTGTATTTGGGAGGGTTCTGGCTCGAGCTGGCTTTGCAGTCATAATGTGCCGAATTGGTGCACTCAATAAAGTTTTACATTTAGAGACTGGAATGTCTTGAAGATGTTTGCTTGGTTGGGTTCATCAGGCAGAACCATGACAGTTACCTAGTTCAGTGGTGGCGAACCTATGGCACGGGTGCCAGAGGCGGCACTCAAAGCCCTCTCTATGGGCACGCACACCGTCGCCCCAATCCTACGCCTTCAGCTGGGTTTTATAAAACCTTTTCACTTTAGGCCTCCACCGCCTTGTACAAAAAAAAAGGTTCAATCAATCAGTCAATTTCAACTTCTCGTGGGGAAAAAAAAGATCTTGCAAAGTTGGAATTGATTGATTGAACTTTTTAGTCCCAACCAGTCTGCTGTTACCACTGCAGCCACGCCCACCCAATTGGCCACGGCCACCCAATGGGCCACACCCACCTGGCACCCGACGATGCATAAGTGGGTTTTGGGTTGACCTAGTTGGTAATGAAACATCTGTAAGAAAACAACCAAGCTCTGAGAACACCAAGGACTCCATGTTTAAAATGAAGTTTGACTAAATGTACTCTCTCTCTATTTTTTAGTCATTTCAAAATCTTTTAAACTTATTTTGGTTGCGTGTTTAATGGGTTTTTATCTATTTGGACTGCTTTATTGTGTACACTGCCCAGTGTTGCTACATGAGATGGGCAGCCATACAAACGTGATAAAACAAACAAACATATTGAAGAACATTTAGTTTCCATATCCACTTTAACTTAATTTTGCGAATGTGATTCTCAAAAGAATCCTCCTGCCCTGAAATTGATAACAACCCTACCTTGGCTCATCTTGACAACTTAAGAATCCGATGCTTCCCATCAGCTTTTGTAAGGAATAAATGCAAAATGCTACTTTTCAACAGCAGTGTAACATGTTCCCTTGTGTGATGGAGGAATATAAAATTACATATGTAGTGTAAAGAAATAGTAGAACCTATCATTATACAATGAAAGTAAAAGTCAGCTTAGGCTAGATAAGAGAAATACTGTGTCATGAAATAATAATAATAATAATAATAATAATAATAATAATAATAATAATAATAATAATAATAATAATAATAATAATAATAATAATACAGTTGGAAGGGGCCTTGGTGGTCTTCTAATCCAACCTCTTGCTCAGGGCTGTCCAGACTCTTCTTAAAAACTTCCAGTGTTGGAGCATTCACAGCTTCTGGAGGCAAGTTGTTCCACTGGTTAATTGTTCTGTCAGAAAGTTTCTCCTTAGTTCTGGGTTGCTTCTCTCCTTGATTAGTTTCCATCCATTACGTCTTGTCCTGCCCTCAGTTGCTTTGGACAATGCATGGTTCAATGGTCAATCCACATGGAGATGGCCACAGATGCTTTAGAAGATTAGACAAATTATGGAGGATGAAATTTACAATGGCTATCATGTATCCTATGTCAGGTACTATATACTAGCTGTGGATAAAGACATGTCCAACTTGTGGGTTTTGGACAATTTGAAGCACAGTTATAAACTAGTCAGACTCTTGCTGTGGTCAAACAGATTCTTTTCATGGTAGACGTTGAACTTGGGCAATTACGATCCACCACTGAGTTACAACATTGACTCAGGATACGAGTGAATGAATAAGGGAGTGAATACAGAACATTTAAGCATTAAAGCAGACGTTTTAATGCTTTCTATGGTTTTTAATGCTTTCTACTGTTTTTATTGTTTTAAAATGTTTTTTCAATTTTTTTTCTGGAACATTTTCAAATGTTCTGGACTGAAAGCCACCCAGAAGCATTTCTTGAGCTGGGCGGCTACAGAAACCAATCAATTAAACAAACAAATAAAACATAATCTTTTAGTACTTTCACTGATCGGAGATGATGATTCTTGAGTAGATGGAGAGAAACCAGCTGATTTCAAGTTGAGATGGGCAGTTGTGTTAGAGGACACCGCGGAGATAAACTTGGTGGACCTCCATAAACTCATATCAGACTTGGAATCTTAGGCCTGGTGGTAGAGAAGGCCAGATTTTAAGATACTCTGGAAGTAGTCTTATTTGATTATATCAGGGAAGCTGCAGAACTCCAGATGCTGCTTTGGATTACCCTTCTCTGGAGACCGGGTGGGAAATGCCTGGCTTTAAACATGTCCCTTTCTCTCCGTACTCCCATTTTCTTTTGCAGATGACTGACCTGCCTCCCTCGTTTTTAACACTGAAGCCAGATTGTTTTAACTAAAGATGGAAACACTGGAGTCGGAATTGACTTGTCCAATTTGCTTAGAGTTGTTCGAGGACCCCCTCCTTCTGCCGTGCGCTCACAGCCTCTGCTTTAGCTGTGCCCACCGCATCTTGGTCTCCAGCTGCTCCTCTGGCGAGAACCTTGAGCCCATCGCTGCCTTCCAGTGCCCCACTTGCCGACATGTCATCTCCCTTAACCATCGGGGCCTAGAAGGCCTTAAGCGCAATGTGACCTTGCAGAATATCATCGACCGATTCCAAAAGGCCTCTCTGAGTGGGCCCAGTTCCCCCAGTGAGAACTACCGTGAGAGAACCTATCGCCACAGCCCGACCATGTCGACAGTGGTGGACCGGATAGCTTGCCAGTTCTGCGAGCAGGACCCTCCCCGCGACGCCGTCAAGACCTGCATTACTTGCGAGGTGTCCTACTGTGACCGCTGCCTGCGGGCCACCCACCCCAATAAGAAGCCATTCACCAGCCACCGGTTGGTGGAGCCTGTGCCGGACACTCACTTCCGGGGGCTGATGTGCCTTGAGCACGAGAATGAGAAAGTGAACATGTACTGTGTGGCTGATGACCAGCTCATCTGTGCCTTATGCAAACTGGTGGGGCGGCATCGGGATCACCAAGTGGCGTCCCTGAGTGACCGGTTTGAGAAACTGAAGGTAAGTAGAGGTGGTGGGCAGGCGAAGCAGGGACGGGTGCCATATGAAAAGTCCAGATCGTATTTTTTGGGTAACAAGGTGGAATTTAGATATAATCCAGCCTCGATTTTGAAAGTGGCAGATTGCGTGAACAGGAGAGTGGGCATTATTTGGATTGAAGCATCATAATAAAACTTCTTTCATCCTCTCTGTCTTTTACTTGGGCTTGAATCAACATTCTTATTCAAAAGAGGGACTTTGTTTGGGGGTGGGGTGGGGGAGATTGTTAATAATCCTGAAATTGTGTCCCAGACTAACCAGGATACAGGGTGAATGGTGATTGACAAAATCAGGACTTTAGTTTTGGGATAAATGTAGTGCTTTGGATTCCAAGGGACGAAGATGCTTCAGAACTCACCAGCTCTTGGTGACTCTTTAAAGCAGCTGCATCTTGTTCTTTCTTCCAAAACTGTAGAGCCATTCTTCAAGAAGATACATTTGGTGTAAGTCATTTCCAGAAGATAGTAGTGTATGTCCACCTGTATAGCACCTTTTATATCTTCCTATCTGTCCTGCACAGCTGGAATAGTTTGACAACAGCTGTATCTTGAGCCTGAAGTCTTTCTTAACATTTACTCCAAGAGAGGGGAGCTGCTAAATGGCTGCCAGAGGTGACTCAGCCTTCCAAACTTCTGGAGGGCTGCATGAAACCATTGGGTGACGCAGTGACTGTGGGAAAGAGGCATCATGGTGTTTTGGGGTTTATTTTGTGCCAGATTTTGATGGTAATGGAAGGAAAAGCCTGGTGGGACAGGCTCGCCTGACGTTCCCACCTTTAAAGCCCATCTTCCTCAAATTTGAGATATATCCTGAAATTGCACTACTTTTGTTGCTGAGTTTTAACGATGCAATGTTTGGGGGTTGGTAAGTCATCTGGAACCTCTGGGTGGTTGGTTATGCATCTTATTCTAGCGACCGGTTGCTCTTTTTAACAGATACATTTGCATTCAACAATATTTGCATGTGTTGTATCCTAGACAGTGGTGGGATTCAAATACGTGAACAACTGGTTCTCTGTGTGGATGCCGCTTCCGGAAGTCCATTCTGGGCCCGGGCAACAAAAAAGTTGCTGCCGGTTCTGCCGAAGTGGTGCGAACTGGCTGAATCCCATCACTGATCCTAGAGTTATATGATGGTCAGGATTCGGGAGCCCCGCCTTCTCCCGAGGTCCTGCATTTTGTAAATAAGAGAGCCGATGTAAACGAGGAGACGGGGTGTCTACTTTGTGGGAGGAACTGGAGCCAACCTGTCCTAGGAAGAATCATTCATTAAGGAACAACTTTGTTTTCAATGGGTTGAAGTCTGCTGCACCTTCAGTGGAACAACCTGCTTTTCTCCCCCCCCTTTCCCCCCCTCTCAGCTACTTGAGGGTGTTTGCAAGTCAGATTTCAGCTGCACCAGGTAATAAATGTTTTGAGCAGCCTGCCTTGAGGAGAATAGACAACTGATGCCATTTCGGATCTAGTGGCTGTTGACAAACTGGTTTTTATGCTTTGAGGGAGGTTTGATTTATGGCTGTCAGGGCTGACAGCCACAGCCTTAGTCTGAAATGTGCAGAATTTCTATAGACTCTTTTCCAGCATATTAATTTTTGATGTTGCACCTGCTCCCCTAAGAGCTGTTTATGCTTATGCGCAAGCTATCATCGGCCTTAATTGCCCTTTTTAATTTTAGGTACAGTTTCTTTGACAATAAGAGGAAAGTACATAGGCACATGTTCAGAGGTGCTGGCCTGTGTGGTAAGGAATCTGGAGGGTGGTCCACCAGATCCAGTTTTGCATCTTTGTCTGTAGGAGGCAAAAAAAGAAATAGAATATATAGATCCTTCTTTCCCTTGCTTTGTTCAATTGTCAAGGAAGGATACTTTCTCACTTTTCCAGCCCAATCAGACCTACTATCCCAACCCAGCACCATTAACTTATTAGTGGCAAGATTTATAGAACTTTTCCATTGAGAACTTCATGAGGAATTTGTCAATGATCCAAATTCCATTGAGAATTACACTGGTGATTTGTTACCAGTGGTCCAAATTCCATTGAGAATTCCATTGGGAATTTGTTAACAGTCCAAATTACCTTGAAGATTTCTTCGGGAGTGTATTAATGGGTTCAAATTGCACTGAATGGTCCAAATTCTAAAAAAAATGGTCCAAATTCTAAAAAAAATGGTCCAAATTCTAAAAATAATAATAATATTTGATTCCATGCAGTAAAAATGAAAATTAAAGAGCATTTTTTTTACATTTAAAACATAAGAGCAAAAAATAACCAAGTTTAAGGTTTGTACTTACAGATCTTTAGAAGAAACCCAGTCTGACTTTATGCTGGGATTGCAAATGCCATCAATTTCAGCACAAACTCTGGGGATTTGGCAATTCCAGCACAGTTGAGGAATACCAAATTGAGATAGATGGATTTAGAATTTGGAAGGCAAATTTTGCAGTTGACTAAGTTACAGAAAATGACCTAGAAGGAGACGTGCCACTCTACAAGAGTTTCTAGAAGACCAAAAAGGAGAAATCCTAAAGACAAATAAATAGCTGTGGTTCTTTCATCTTTGCCAAACTGGCTAACACTGTCAAGGGAACCAGATCAAAGCTGAGCTGCTTCAGTCTGATTTTTTTTCCCCCATTTCAGCCAGGGATTTGGAAATTCAAAGCATTTCTATTCAGCGTCCTAACCCTTAAGTAGCAAAATGCACTTCCTGCAACATTCACAATGGGGTTTTAAACTAACAGGAACGTCATCTGCAGCATTAAGAAGCATTATGCACAATGCTGGATTTTCATTTCACACAGCAGACGTGTGCCCATAAAAGAGTGATGTTGATCTTTCTGACTACAGCACATGTGCCTGTTGCATATTTGTGGTACCAACGGGCTATTCTGCTGATATTCTACAGTGTCATTCTAAATATTCTGCTCATGTTTGATTTAATGGAAGATACATGATTAATTGGGAAATTAAAAGTCATGCAGCATATAGGCGAGGGGCGTGATGGCGTTAGCAGTTATAGATGCTGAGCTGGTCAGCTGCAAAGCTGTCAGCCTAGGTTTGAGACCCGAGCGCAGTGTGATGGGATGAGCTCCTGTTCCTGCCTCAGCTCCTGTCCACCAGTTCAAAAGCATGCAATTGCGAGTAGTTAAATAGCTATCACTTTGGTGGGAAGGTAACAACGCTCCGCGCACCTTGGCATATAATACTTGCCACATGACTACGGAAAATGTCTTCAGATAATGCTGGCTTCCTTGGCTAAGAAACAGAGATGAGCACCAGCCCATAGAGTTGGAAATGATTGGACAGGGAAAACATCTAGCTTTAACACACACAAACACACACACATATTTGTATGAGGAATTAGATCTTTAGCCAACCAGCCACCTAGGCAATTTTCTCTGTCTCTGGCAGGATGAATTGAAAAGTATCTCATCTTGTCTAAACAAATCTCACTGCAGATGTAAACTGCTTTCAGTTGTCTTACTTGTCACTCTCCAGATAAATATACTTTTTAGCCTAGCTAGCTCACAAAAATCACTTTCAAACATGCAAAGAACATACGGATGTTTATGAATACAAAGTTCACTTTTTCGGGATGGATAACGTGCAATAGCAGCCCCAGAAATAGAATTCAAGGTGTTTACAATATTTAAAACAGGAAAGGAGAGAGACTTTAAAGAAAATTATGCATGGCAGACGTCCCTTCACCTATTTTTGTAGCCTCAAAGCTCGATAATGCAGAATTGGAAGGAAATCTCCAGATTAAGTCAGTAGAACTCATTATAAGTTGACTTACAACTGTAACTGAGCCCAAAATTTCAGTTGCTAAGTGAGACAGTTGTGAATTGGTCATTCTACCCCATTTTACAACATTTTTCCCCACAGCTTTAAATGAATCAGTGCAGTTGTTCAGTCAGTAACCTGGTTGTTAAGTGATTCTGGCTTCCCCACTTGACTTTGCTTGTCAGAAGGTCGCAAAAGGTGATCACGTGACCCAGGGACACTGTGACCGTCATAAATATGAGTCAGTTGCCAAGCGCCCGAATTTTGACCATGTGACCATTGAGGATGCTGCAAGATTCGTAAGTGTGAAAAACGGTCCTAAGTCTCTTTTTTTCAGTGCCGTTGTAACTTTGAATGAATTCACTAAAGCAGACATGTCAAACTCATGACATCACGTGACGTCACGCGACGTATCGAGACAGTTTTGCCATTGCTGGCAATGAGGTCGGCGCGGCTTCCACGTGACGCGTCCAGCCCGTGGGCCGGCAGTTTGACACCCCTGCACTAAAGGAACTGTTCTAGGGCTGGCTGTATTGGGGGATTTTTGTCATTCTTCCCTATCTTGGTGCTTTTCAAGCGATGGCGAATTCTAAGAATTGTAGTGCAGGAGATCCTGAGGTTTAGGGAAGGACGCAACTAGGTTTGATTTGAATTGTAGCCACCACGTTGAAGAAGGCTAAAATCGAAGGCCCATCACAATCCGTTTACTTTGATTTGAAGTCCTGCTTTGTCCTGCAGAGAAGATTTTTGTCGTTTTGGAGGTTTCCAGTTGAGGATTTTTTTTATAATCTAATCAGCAGTTCTTGCTTTCAGATGGTCCCTGTTTCTCTCTCTTGTTTGAGGTGGATAAACATCCTTTTAGCAAGGCAAGCTGATTTGCTTCCTTTCCTCAGCCTTTGAACACTTCAGCCTAAGGATGAGTTCCTTGTGATTCAGCTAGAAGGGTTTGTCTTTTGCCCTCCCAGGGAATTGCTCTAGGAATGTGATGGATTAATTCATATTTATAACAAGTCTATTTCTGAGGTCTAGATGCATTCGGTCTAGCTACTGTGTCTGTTTCTGTGTATGCAGAAACCCAGCCAGGGTGACTGGAATCAAAGAGAATGATTAAAAATTTCTCAAACATACCTATGCAATTAGAATCACATTAGCACCGTGTTATTTTAGCACAGTGATTCTAGA